TCTGCTGGTCCCTATTTATTACTTTTTTTTAGGAAGGAATTTTCATTTTGTAAATTTTGCTGGCTCGAAGTTTATCTGAAACACATTTTGTTTAAAAGGATGGGTGGTTAGTTTGCTTTGGGTAGGTAGTTATAACTATTTCTTATTAACTGGGGCAGGCACCCTGATAAGGATGTTGAATTGTTCTAATCATGTGGATGCTGTGACTGGAGACTGCATGAGCTGCAAGCCCATTTAAAAGGTCAAGAAATAGGCAGAATTTAAAGTACCCAAGACTTATTAACTTAATTGGAATTAACCATTCAGTTGTTGGAAAAGTCATGATTTACTTTTGCATAGAAAACCAGAAAAATATGGTATGACTTTCCCAACAACTTATAGAATGAGAAGAGACTAGAGTGAAATAGCGTGACTGGTTATTGGACTTGATGTGTTTTTTTAAGTGAATTTTATGTCAAGAGCAGTGAGGAAGTAACTATCAGGAAAATTATGGACAGTGCTTACCAGGGCATGTGCTATGAGAATTTAGGGAAGCATAAGGTTACATTCAGTAAGGCTTTTGGCTACCACACTGAGGGGCATACTGGCAAGATGCAAATGTTTGCTGCTTTGAGGGAGAGAAATTTTGTATTCATTATACACCTGATAGTTTAGAGTAGATTGGTCATTGAGTAATTTAGAGAGCAAGATATTCACATAGTTTAAACATGGTTAACATTGGCAGTCTAAAGGGAATCTAGAGATAGATCAGGGTTTTACTGCTTAAAAATTAAATTGTGATATGTATAGTGCATTTTAATTTAAGAATTTTTTTATTATATTACATTACACATATTAATGAGAAGCAAATTTCGAGATAATATCATAAAGCAGAGGAATGTTCTGTGTAATTGAGACTTTAAAAAATTTATGTGTGTGTCGGGACCAGGAGTTGACCGCGGTTCATGTCCTGGATCTGGTGGCTTAAAACTCACTCCAGGCGCATGTGCGTATGTACCCAGGATCTTGAGAGGAGAATGGAGGAGAAGGGATTGCAGCATGACCATGCCCCCGGGGGGTGATTTTCTCGCTTTCTGTCTCTCTGTCTCTCTCTGTCTGTCTGGCGACTGCACGCGCCCTATAATGAAAACCTCTCAAAAAAAAATTATCTGTGTGTGTGTGTACATATATAAAATCTCATATTGCAAGAACTCTTAAAGTCACCGGAATGGTGCAGCTTAGAAAAGTTACTCTAATCACCCAGTCGTAGACTTGTATTAATAAGTTATTATGAGGGTGATAGTTTTCCATTTTGGGGATAAAGTGGATTAATCATTGAGAGTTGTGGGGATAAGTTAGTGAGGACAAGAAAGCTTTATTAAGAAATCAGTTCATGTCTGTGCCAACAACTAAAAGTATGTTTTGAGAACTTAGCACCAAGTTAATTTGAATGGCACAGTGGTTGAGGATGGATCCTGGGACAGAAAGCCTGTTTGGAGATAGTATAGAGATGAAAAAAGAATATTGCCTTGCTAAGATTGGAAACTATTACACTTAATCTGTTTCCCTGGTAGAATGTGTGTGGAGGTTTGAGGCTGAAATGCTGTACAAATGTACAGTAGTGATGATACTGCTATTAGGTGCTACTAGGAGGAAGGTGAGCTGGAAGAATGGGAGTTCCGGGGTGAAGTGACAGATTGTCAGGAGAGAATGCAGTGATAGAACTGCTGAGAGATTGTGAGCAGAATAAAGCCCATTAAGTCCGAGATGGGGTCATCTGAGCAAGTGAATAGAATGGAGATGAGCAAGATACAAGGCTGGTGAGTTGGCACAGTTGCAGAGGCTGTACGGTCAGGATGATGGTGTAGAGTAGGGAAGAACACTAGGCCCGAGTGTTAGCAATCTATATAGGAAGTTGAAATGCCTTTGATCTTTAGAAGACAGTAATGATGATGATTTGGGGAATTTGTTCAAAGTAAATGCTTCTGAGGATTTACATTGACTATGGAGAAAGTCTTTTTTTTTTTTTTTTAATTTAGTCCTGCTTTGACAGTCCTTTTTTAAATTAAATTTGTCAAGAGGGTGTGTGCACTCATAGGATGAGTGGGTGGGTGGTGGGGGAGAAAGCACCCCATGGAGAATGCCACAATCCCTTGTTCTCCACTTCTCTGTCCTTTCAGGATTTGAGGCATACACACACATAGCATGTTTCTGCTGGGTTTGGGACTTGAACCATGCCGTGGGTCATAGGGATCCAGTCATCTTAACTGCTACACTGCAGTCTTGCCCAAAAGAGCCTCTTGCCGGCTCCCTCTTGCGTTCTCCCAGTATATAACCACAGTGGTATATGATCTTGATATGACGAGTAGTGATAAGTAGTCCTGTAAAACTGATTTTTCATTTATGAATTTGTGGGTCACACAGCAATGAAAAGTCTTACAGAATTAAGCTTTGTCATAACAGAATTCCACTAGAAAAATTTATTTGAAATACATCAAAAAGCTGTGTAGGCAGTTAGAGTTGTTACACTGTTCATTAAGGTTATCAAAAATAATCACAGTTGGCCAAGAACTGATAGGCTTCCAGGATTCAAGATTAAACCCTAGATGGTCCCGGGTAAGCTACAGTAAACCCTTCTGCTCCTCAGGAGCTGGGGTTGTGGCATGTGTGTACCTTGTGTTTTCAGGCTCTTCAAAGGATCCAAACCCATAGTTGACCATGTGACTTCCAGCACTGCAATCCACATGATTTGGACTACATGACCTTGGCTGGGCTGAAATTACTATTTTATAGAGTAGCTAAATTTTATTTATTTATATAGGGCACATGTGCTCTCCAGAGAGACAGAAAGCAAGAAATGAATGCCACCTGACATGAGTTTCAACCACCAGGTCCAGGCCTCGAACAGCAGTCGGCTGTTTGGGAATCCATCAATGTAACCATTATACCCTCTGCTGATTCCTAGAGTTGCTAAATTTTAAATACCTTCAGGTGACAAAGAGTTACTTGGTTTATCCATCTTTATCTTCGCTTTATTCATTGAACTTTAAATTTTGTATTGTTGATGCTGTAGCGTAGTCTTGCTTAGTGCAGGCTTTCTTACCTTTTAGCTACATTCTTCATTGGACTAAGCTTCTCTAGCCCTGATATGAACCATCCTACATTGTTACTGAGGATTTTTGTGAATTAATGCTGTCTTCTCAACTAGAATCAGTATTAAAAGTGGGCTTTGTCTTCTACCATTTTTATATCTTTGCTGTATCCACTTCACACACTAGCCATCTAGTAAGTATGTTTATTACTTGATCCAAACAGATAGATATCTGATCATATTTCTCTGGCTTTTCAGAGTCTTAGGACTGTGCACAGTGTACAGAAGGAATCATATCTGTTCTAATAGATGGTGGTTTTAGAAAATTCTGACTTAAGAATGACAGCTGAAGTAAGCAGGCAATTAAGAGATATCTTCTAAATGAGGATTTGATAAATCTGTAACTTCTGTAGTTTATTATTTACATTCAGAATTCTCTTCTATTTTTTACTGGTGAATAATAATGAGCCTTCATATAACTGTTGGCATTTTTAAATGGTTGAACTGGGTATAATCAGCTTAGATAGAACTGACCATATTCTCTCAGCATAAGTGATGACTTAAATTCATTTGTTGAAACCCCAACTTTCTTTTTTTTCCCACACCTACTGTTTGAATCCCTGAACCTGCACTGATTCTACAGTTCTTCTCTGTGGTTATATCTTGGTGACCAAGGACAACTGGAACAAAGTCATAACCATCGTGCGGTTGTTGTCTCTGTGGGTTTGTGATAATTACAGTATTAGAAGTGCTCAACAGAAGATGAGCTGCACCCTGTCTCATTCCATTCAGCATGTATTCTAAATCCCTCAATGATCAAGCCCATCATCTTCTCTGGATTTAATATCACTGTGTAAATTGTGACTACAAAATATTTCTTCTCCATAGACACGTTTCCTGTACCAAAATATTTCTTCTCCATAGACATGCTTCTGTACCTAGCTTTATGTATGTCTGGATGGTAACAAGTTTCTTGTAAACTGCATATCCAAAATCAAACTTTTATTTTCACCTTCTTCTGCAATAAGAACAATAACTATCCTCTACTGAGTACTTACTTTAAGTGGAACTTATTTTTACCTTCTTTTCTCACAATAAGAACAATAACTAGCCTTTATTGAGTGCTTTCGTTTTGCCATATACTCAGAATGCTAAGCATTTTATGTGTTTTCCTATTTAATAGTCATTATAACATGAAGTAGGTGACTTTGTTTTTCCTGTTCCAGTGATAGAGAAAATGAGCCATGGAAAATCTAAATTGGTCACACAACAATTAAGTGGCACATCTGGAAATAAAATCCAAATATTAGGTCGTCAGGAATGTCATGACATATTTTCTTATATAAAAATGCATCATTTGTGATGATCTATAAGTTTGATTCCAGAGTTTGCTTTTGAAAACTTTGTGCCATATCGTATCCCCAAATTTGTTACTCTTCTGATCCATATTCTGTTCTGTTCTGGTGCCATCATTCATCCAGATAATTAAGTGGGAAATTTTGATATTTACAGATTGCTTTTTCTTTGTAATGTTCTGGTCAAAGGCTTTATGTATATTTTGATTTTTTTTTTCATGCTACTAATACTGTAATTTAGATAAACTCAGCTTAAACCTGATCTTACAACTACCAAATATATTTCTCTAAAATGCAATTCTTATTACTTAAACCCTTCAGTGTCTGTGAGTTACCTTCAGGATAAACTTTAAAGTACTCTGTATGGTGTCTGTACACCTCTGTTTGTCTATCAGCCTTATCACTTTATATGCTGTTGCCCGGCCATGCCAGCAGTTCTCTCTGTAATCTCTCTTAAAGAATCACATTTCGAGATGCAGTTCTCTTAAAGGTTATCTTCTCTGTGAACCTCTTCCTGGTCCCTGTAAGTTGGATTATCTACTTTTTCTTTGGGACCCAGATGTACTGTTTTACACTTTGCATTTGTTTTTAGTAATTGAAAGCCATGTATTTACTTACAGAGTTGTCTCCTCACCAGACTATGAGCTCCTTGAAAGAAGGAATCGTGTCTTACTCATCTTCGTATCCCCAGTGTCTAGCACAGTTCCTGATACATAGTAAGTGATTAATATATTTTTAAACTAAGATTATATTTAACAGTCAAGTTCTATACATGTTACAGTTAGTTGTACCTATTTAGGCTTATGACTATGCTATCATAAAAAAAATACGGCTTTCACACTTCTGAGGTTTGATTTCCTCATATCTAAGGTAGACATAGTACCTCCTTACTCACACAATGTTATTGTAGTGTTCAAATAGAAGAATATATGTAACAGTACATTTTCAGTTTTACACAACTTTATGATATTAAATGAAGTGCGGAGACTAATCCTGTGTTGAAATTGGTAATATCTTTGCTATGTGTCTTCCTTTTTGAGGCAAGATGGTGTTATTTTTGAACCATGTCTATCAAGTTTTGCAGTTAAATTTGCAGTTACTTGCTACTGAAGCATATGCTCTTGAGTCTGATGACTGGTTTATATAGAAAGGCTTTTTATAGAACAAGGAGAGAAATTGATTGGGGGTGGAAATCAGGGAGAAGAGAAAGATATGTGTAGTGGAGGGAATGGTCTTAGACAGTTGTACCATTCTCAGTCTAGGTAGTGCTTTAAACTTCTAAAATTCTTAAATAACTAACCCTTTACCTGCTTCTTTTATTCTCAGCAGTTATCTTTCTAACTTATTAATAAAGTCCCTTGATTTTTTTTTTTTTAACCTATCCTCAGGTCTCATTTATTGCTCAGAGAAAGAGGTGTCTTTCTCTCGGAAGATCAGTTAGAAGCCATCTGTAGGAAAGCTGTGCCTTTCCCTTCTTTTCCATCACAGACTGCAGAAATCACACTTAGTGAATTAGTGATTTTTCTATATCTGTTTTCTTGCCTTCCGTGCACTCTTTTAAATTAAAAATGTGTAATTCAAACATGCCAGATCATTTGTAACATAAAAAGTTAATAATAAAAACAAATCTTTGTGAACCAACTACTCAACCTAAGAATGAGATTTACACCAACAAGGTCATAGTACCTACTGACCCCTATCTTTTCCCAACTCTCCGAGAATTCTTATTCTAAATGTGTGTTTTCTTCTTCCCTCCCAAGTAGCCCAAATAGCTGAGACTGCCACTGTGCTTGACTTGTAGAATGGGCTGGGAATTACAGCTGGACCTCTCACATGGCCCTTTCCTGTCCAGCCACAGCATCCAGCACATGATACCGTAGCTGGGCCCCTTTACTCCTTTTTTTTTTAATACCACAAGTTTAATTCTTTGTTTTGAGTTTTATAATCATTCTGTTTGTAGGCTTTTTAAAGCTTATGCAAAGTATACTTTATTAGGAAAACTTAATTTATAAATATTTATGCATTTCAAGGAAAGCATCCAAACATCATAAAAGAATACATAGAAAAACATCAGTATGCAAATTCACATTTGTAACCAGAAAATAATCTGGAGACTTACTTTGTTGCCAGAGGGCATGAGTACTTGCAAGAGAGAGACAGAGAGAAAGAGAGACCACCCCAACTAAAGGAACGTGGTCGCACTACAGTTATTTTTCCTTCACTTCTCCATTCCATCAGGTTTTGGAGCATGTATACACATGAGCCTGGCATGTTTTTCAAGCCACTAGTGCTGGGATTCAAACTAGATGGGTTCTAGACGCCTTAACTAAAACACTGTTGGCTTGCTCCAGATTAGCCTTTTAACTACTCATCAATTTTCAACTTTTTTTTTTTTAGTGTAAGTCTTTCTTAGTATATATAAGTCTTTAAAGGCTATAGATTTGTCTCTAACTGTAAATTTTATTATATACCAAGTTTTTATATGGTTGTTTTTGTTATCATTCAGTATAGGTTTTTTTCTTTTAATTCCTAGCATTCTTCTGATCTAGGAAATGTTTAGAAGGTGATTTTTTTTTTTTTTTGAAGGTTTTTGCCATGAGGTATGTGCACTAGCCAGAGAAAGATAGTAAGAGGGAGACTGAGAAATCACCACCCTCAAGGGGGATGGCCATGCTGCAATCTCTTATTCTCCAGGTATGTGCACTAGCCAGAGAAAGATAGTAAGAGGGAGACTGAGAAATCACCACCCTCAAGGGGGATGGCCATGCTGCAATCTCTTATTCTCCATTCTCATCCTAGGATTTTGGGCACGCACATGTGCATGCCCGATGTGATTTTCAAGCCGCCAGGTCTGGGACTTGAATTGCAGTCAGCCATGTAGGAGTCTACTGCTTTAATCACCAAGCCTACTGTTGGCCCCCAAAAGTATTTTTTTTTATTCTATTTGTGTCTTTTAAATTTAACATTTGTTACTGATTTATAAATTAGTTATTTTATGGTCAAAGACTGGGAAAAAATTTGAAATTCAGAGAGATTTTCTTAATCTCTCAGTGGGTGTATTTTTTTGTTATCTTGTGAGTGGTTCAGAAGAGTTTATATCACAGTAGATATGAGGTGCTGTTTAATATTTAATAAAACCTGTTTGTTCATTATTTTTTTGTCCACTTGACCTATGATTAATCGGTAAGTGTTAAAATTGCCTACAACCAAGGCCAATTTGTTTCTTGATCTCTGTAATTCTTACAGTTCTTTAGGTTTCCTACCCTCCCGTTGTCAGTGCATTTTATATTGTCTGGTCCAGATCCAGATTTGATGTGCTCTGAATGTTGCAGAGTGGAGACTAGGTGCTTCAAAGGATGTAGGTGTCTACTTGGTGTTCTCTTCCCTCTTACCATCACTTGAGAGAGCAGCATATTTATAGCACTGAGCCTGAAGGCTGGGTTTTCTTCAGGTTTCTTTGTATCAGGTGCAAAACTGGGGTCATGATCCTTTTTGCCATCCTTCCTTCCAGATATTTTTCATTGATTGGCCTTTGTTCCATCTCCTCCTGGACCACACTGAAGTTTCCACTTTCCCCTTTGGTACATTTACCCATTTGTTTTGTTTTTATCTTTTCTTGCTGCTCATTCCTGAGGTGGCTGAACTGGAGCTACTTTCCTTCCCCCACTTGTAGGGAATTGATTGCTGCTCTCTGTCTGAGTGCTGAGATCAAGCAGAAGGATTAGCACCTTGCCTCACTCTAGCATTCTTATTTAGTTGAGGGCCCAGTGTTAGCTTTAGTAGCTAATGAAGTTTGGGAGGCTTACAAGTTAGAGTGACAGCCATCCTCCTTACTGTTTCAATTTCTAGAGACTTCTCACTTGCTCATGCATCTTGTTCTCATCTCTGACAGAAGTGACTGAGGTCCCAGTCCGAGATGACTTCCTGTCCTTCATCATTCCATTTCTGAGTTTCTCTGCCAGCGTGGGTGTCTTTTTAGGTGTCTCTCCCAAGGTTATCATTCTGGTTTTGGCTCAAATAGCTGACACTGCAGTTTCTCCTGATCCTTTTGTAGGTGTTCTCCTACCAGCTGGGTCAGCAGGCATTGTCCCTTCAAAGACAGAAGCTTCTTGACTGATTGCACAGTGCCAGTAAAGGTGTTTCCTTAGGAGTACGAAAGGACTTCAGAAAACTATGGAAAAAATACAATTAAAGTGCTAATTTATTTCAGTGTGTAAACTTAAGAGTTTTATGTCTACTTAGTGTATTGAACCTTGAATAACATTTCTGAGGGTTTAGATTCAGTTTGGGTCTTTGGGAGGAATCTGTCACCACACCTATAATTATCCCGAGGCCAATTGTCTTTGGAGCTTCATAGCCTAGGGTCCTATCTGTCATGGCAGTGTGCATAGTGATCTGTGCTTAGCTCCATAGCCTGTGGTCCTGTCTGTCATGCCAGTGTGCATGGTGATATGTGCTTGCTCAGCAGTCCTCATTCCTGCAGTACCCACTACCAAATGCTTTTCTTGGAGTCATGGCCACAATTACAGTCTCCACTGCCTTAGTCATCTTAGCAGTCATGGTCTCCATGATAATCACTGTTTGTCTTCAAAGTTATCAGCACTTATCCTGGGCAGATGTATGGTCATCAGGGTGTTATGGCAGAATGAGCTCTCCAGTCTTTCTCTGTTTTGTTAGGATTCTGATTTCTGTTTTGGCCAAAGGAATGATCATCCTTATCTTTACACTATAGCAGCAACCATTCAGTTCTATTCACTGAGGCTCAGGAACTAGGAGGGAATCCAGGTTTTTGAACTTAGCATAATCAAAGCTTTTCAACCTCTCTGGGTTGCTGGGCTTATATGCTAAATGTACTGATACTTGATCTTCCTTGAAGATTGCCTTAATGGACTTTTTAGTCCCATCACAAGTCAAGTTTAGTAAGAAAAGCAAGATAGTGAAGCTTCCTGAGGAGCAGCGGGCAGGATGCAGTGGGCAGTTGGAGGTGCCTATACGTTATGTCATCCTTATTGTGCCAACAGATGACTGCTTCCATGTCCTCTGTCTCATCACTTCAGCTGCCTGGAGACGTAGGTACATCTTCATCAGTGCTACCTTACTCAGCTAGGGAGTCTGTTAGCGAGGTAACTTCTCCTTCTTATTCTGTTTTGGTCAGGCTGCCATGTTGGGGGAGAGAAAATTTAAAGGTATGCATTTTTTTAAGTATATAAACTTAAGAGTTTTATGTCTACTTAGTGTATTGAACCTTGAATAACTCCTCCCTCCTTTTTTCAAAAATAAAAAATGCTGTTTTTTTCTGCTCATATAACAAATCTCAGCTTTCTTTTAAATTTTTTTCCTTAGTTTTCCTTTTGTTCTATCAGTATCGTTATTTTGCAGGTATCTACTTACTTTTAGAATTGTCTATATGTATTTATTGGGATTATTTTTATATCTGGTCTCTTTTTGTATTTTCTTATTTATGCCTTTGATTGAGTTGTTTTCTTATTCAATTCTTTCCTACTGCTCAACTGGTATGGAAATTCTATTCTTTTATTTTTACTCCTTTATGATTAACTTTGAAATACGTCAGGAACACTATGTGTGCGGGCTGAAGTTAAATCAGATCAGTATTTCTCTGTTGAACAATGCAAGGATTGACATTAACTCTAATCCATTGCCTCCGCACCCTGTCCTTCTATTTATATGCATGTCTTTCTTTGTTCTGTGTATTATTGTTTATAATATTTTTGTTTAAACACTATTACAAGATGTTATTTTACTTGGATGTGTTCATTTGTGTAGTTACTTGTATGCTTAGCAATTTCTTCACTCAGCTTTCCCCTTCTTGTGTCTCAGATCATATTTTTGTGGTAATTTTACTCTCATGAAACATGTTTTTTAGTTTTTTAAAAGTAAGATCTGCTCTTGATAAACTCTTTTGGTTTATCTGGCAGTGTCTTAATGCCTTCTATGTACCCCAAGAGTGTTTCAGTGACTGTGTAATTTTTAACTCTCTCACTCCTCTGTAAATGTTTTACTGTACATGCTTTCATTGTTGCTATTGAGGATTCTGCTAGTTTTTTACGTTAAACTTTCCTATGTAATTTCTTTTGTCTTTGATTGTTTTAACATGTTCTCAGTTTTGAAGCTCTGCAGTTTGTTCTGTGTCTAAGTGAGAATTTTGTAGAGCACACATGCTCACCCAAAAGAAAGAGAGAGAAAGTGAAAGCACTCCCTGGTGGGCGGTTGTCATGCCATTATCCCTTCTCCAATCTTTTTGGATTTATGGGTGCGCATGTACATGTGTCCAGAGTGTTCCTCATGTAGGATCTAGCTGCCTTAACTGCCATACCACGGCAGGCCTATTTATTGTATTTCTTTTTATTTAACTTTATTTATTTATTTTAATTTGACCAGAGTGTGACAGAGTGAGAGAGAGAGAGAGAGAGAAAGTGAGAAAGCAAACCTCCAGGTCCAAGACTCGAACCGTAGTCAACCATATAGGAGTCCAGTGCCCTTAACTACCATGCCACCTGCTGGTTCCCACATATTGTATTTCTTAACAGTTGTGCATAAATACCTTTACTCAGTTCTGAACATTTAAGTTCTCTGTTTTCTGGGATTATGAGTAAAGATATATATCGGATTTCATTTTATTCTTAATTTCCTATAGCCTCTCTTTGAATATATTTTATATATGCTCATTTGAGTGCTATTTCTAAATCATTTCTTCAGGCTTATATTCAGTATTATTGATTCTTTAGTTTTGTGTAATCTAATTTAAAATCTTTCAGTTGTCACAATTTTTCATTCTGCAAATTCTATCTGGTGAAATGATTTATGCAGAATTTCTGTCATTAAAGAAGTGGAGTGTAACTGCCCCATTCCATTAGTGCAGACTGCTCATAGAGATTTCCTTCCAGAGTAGTGTGAGGAAGGGGAAAGACTAACATTGCAGGGGTGGAATGTGTCGAACACTGCCTCAGTCAGATGATCAAGTTTAGCATCCATAGTCATAAATCATGTTAATGGCATGTACCCTTGATGTAATATGATGAAAATGGTATTTTACATATGTGGTCTTCATCCCCCAAACCAATAACCTTAATTTAATAAACAGAAAATCATTAGGTAAATACCGATTGAGAGATATTTTGCTAAATATCTAACTTTCCCTTCCTAAAAGTATCAAGGTCATGGAGGAATGATCTAAGTGAAGCACAGGAAAGATTAAAAACAGAGGAAAAAAACAAGATAAACTATACTTATTACTATTTCCCAGTCTTGCCTGGTATGTTCCACTTTATCTTTAGTAGGGTAAGAGTAGATAGAAGTTGAGATGTTTGTCATGTAGAGGAAAGCTGAAGTAGTTCTTATTTTGTGTTTTATTTAAAAATTGAGGCAGAGGTATGTAGAGCAGAACTTGGGAAATACTATGTATAAAAAGAAAGATTTATTAGGGATATACCAACTAATGCAGTATATAAATCTAAACTCCTTACTATTTTTTTTTATTTTGATAAAGGGCATTGAAATAGACTGGATTAGATAACATAATTAGATAATTAGATACTGGGACCAGCAGATGGCATAATAGTTACATTGCTGGACTCCCACATAGTCTACTGTGGTTCAAGTCCCAGGCCTGGTTGCTTAAACTCATGCTAGGTAAGTGTACGCCCAAAATCCCAAGAGGAGAATGGAGGAGAAAGGATTGCATTGTGGCCATCCCCCTGTGGGGTGATTTCTCGCTGATTTCTCACTTTCTGTCTCTCTGTCTCGGTCACTCCAGTGAGTGCACGTGCCCTATAGCAAAAATCTCTCTCTTAAAAATAAAAAGATAGTAATGTACTATTGATAGTTAAATTCCTGAATTTGAACATTGTACTGTGTTTATTTAGTTTTCATTTTGTTTTAGGTTTTTGCTATAAGGCATGTGCACTTGCCAGAGAGAAATTGGGGAAGGGAAAGTGAGAATTCACACCCAAGGAGGTGACTACGCCACAATCTCTTCTCCTCTATTCCTTTCCTGGTTTTCTGGGCACACATGCACATGTGCCTGGCATGATTTTCTAGCTGCTGAGACTGGGACTCCAACCATGGTTGGCTGTGGAAGTCCAGTGCCTTAGCCTCCTTGTCACCTCTTGGCTCCTGTATTGTGGTTATTTTAGAGAATATTTTGTTCTTAAGAAATATATACTAAAATATTAAAGGGTGAGAGAGCAACATACTCAGGTAGTTCAGATAATAAATATCTAATGATAATTATATGTCATTAATTATATATTTATTAATGCTATTTTTAATCAGTGTATGACCCTGGTTTCTTAGGAATCTTGCTCAGATTGAATTAGATGTGGTTTGCCATTTTCTTCCACAATGCTTTTAACTCAAAGTCTTAATTTTGTTTATTTATTTTGTTATTGCTAGAGGATAGGTACCCTTGACAGAGAAAGAAAGAGAAAGCACCCCAGTGGGGTGTGGTAATACCATTTTTCCATTGTTTGGGGATTTGGGCATACGTACACATGCCCAGTGTGCTTTTCATGCCAGCAGGGCTGGGATTTGATTTGCAGTTAGCCTTGTGGGATCTGGCTCCCCATGTAGTATTTAACTGCTGTGCTGCAGTCAGCCCCTTCAAGTCGTAATTGGAATGGAGAACAGTTGTGAACTTCATCAACATTGCGAGATTGAAAATGAGTGTGATTTCTTAGTTGATTCAAATAAACAGTTTTAATCATCTTGAGAAATAGTCTCCTGTCTAACATTTTAATAAATTAATTTTTCTATAGGTTTAAGCTGAATTTTGGGACATGGCCACTGCTTCACCAAGGTCTGATACTAGTAATACCCACAGTGGAAGGTTACAGTTACAGGTAACTGGTAAGTTATTTTCAAAATCATATAGTGAAATTAGATATGGTTTATTGACCATTTTTTCTGTAATGCTTTTAACTCAAAGTCTTAATTTTGTTTGTTTATTTATTTATTTTATTGTTGCTAGAGGATAGGTACCCTTGACTGAGAAAGAAAGAGAAAGCACCCCAGTGAGGTGTGGTGATACCATTTTCCTGGTGAAACTTCCTTTTGAATAACTAATTTGACTTATTTATTCTGTAAGGGCCATTACGTTTAGGTTCATGTTATGGTATACTTTTTGCAGTGGGCCTCAAGGGTAGATGTCTTTTAAAAGCATTTCATTTATTTGGTGAGTATTTATTGAACCAGTGCTGACTGAAGAGTAGATATATCCTCTTCATTGGTGGAAGATTTCGGGGTTTTCAGTAAGTGTCATTGAGTTGGTCCTTAAATGTTTAATAGATTGGAGCAGATGCAGAATATTGCTTCTTTCATCCATGTAGCCATTGTTCAAACACGGGGCAGATATAGAAGTGGGATTACATATATGAAAACACAGGCCTTAATTCTTTAGGAATTTACTGTATAATGGTGAGATAGATTTGTTTTTATTATGGACAGGTAATCAGGCACAGTGGTCATTATGTAGGAGTGGTGTTTAGAAGGTGTGTGGGTTTAGAGATGACCTATGGACACAGGAACATAGGATAAGAGGACTCACAGGAAGGGTCACACAAACTCGTGCAGGTGAAATGGAGTTCATCTTAACTTAAGTTGGCAGCAGAGAGCCTTAGAACGAGAGGGAGCAGTATCTGCAAAAGCATGGAAGGGCTTGGTTAGGGGATTTTAAGTAATTTATTCTCACTAGTTGGAGACATGATTCAAGGAGGAATGACCTCCTAAACCAGCAATTTTACTTTTAGGAGTTTTTCTTGCAGATATTTATATTATTTATAATAGCAAAAGAGTGTCATTGGAATGCAAAGGACAATGAAGTGAATTAACATGTATCAATGAGTCAAGCTCTCAGGTAATACTGTTAAGTGAAAAAGCCAGGCGTGGAGCAGTGTATATAGATGTTGCGATGTGGATGTAAAAAAGGAGGACTGCATATGTGGCTCTGTGCTTAGAATATTAGGAATAGTATTTGGTGGGCCAGCGGTGGTGTAGTGCTTAAGGCAGCTGCATCCTGCATGACTGACATGTGGTTCGCATTCTGGACCCATTGGCTTGAAAAACACACTGGTTGTGGCTATACCCGCAAACCAGTGTGCCCAAAACCCCAAAAGGAAAAATGGAGATGGGACTGCTATGTGGCCATCCCTCAGGAGGGTTCATTCTCACTCACATCCCTGTCTCTCTACATTGAACACACATGTCCTCTAGGAAATCTAAAAGGAAAAAAAAAAGGAAGAAATAGTATCTGCACTGTCCGGGGTAGGAGTGGTGGTTAGGATAAGGAAGTACGCTGTAATGCCTATGGGACTGACACTGTGAGGTTGGCTTACTTCTGGGAGTTCTCAGTGAGCAGGGCTAGGGAATGTTTTTTGTTTTAGAAAACAAAAAAAAACAAAAGCAAGGAAGTCTGAATTCATGTTAATATTTGCAACTCAAAACGGTATCCCCTTAGGGTATATAGCCAGAATACCATATTTCTTTTTAAAAAATTATAATTATAGTTTTAATTTGCTGTAGGGTACATGTACTCACCAGAGAGGGGAGAGAGAAAGAGAGAGAGAAAGTGAGAAAGCAAACCACCAGGTCTGGAACTCTAGCAGTGGTTGGCCTTGTGGGAGCACTGCACTACCTGGTGGCCCCAGAATGCCATATTGCAAAGTAACTTAAAGTAATTCTCCATGTGCTTATGTCACCATTTTCATCAGATTCATTGTTTCCATTTTTAATTTTTTAATTTTGTTTCATAAATGTAAATCATTTATATATTGGGTTGTTAGAAAAATCAGGACATATTTTACATAGAAAAAGGTACATCATAACTTTTCTTACAACCTAATTAATGGCTCTAGAGTCAAAACCATTAAATCAGGGTACATTTTGAGATGTCTCCATACTCAGTCCCATTCTTCTCACTTTTCTCTCTTGCCCTATATATTAACATTTTTATTAGTTTTGCTTTATCCTTTGTTGCTTTCTTTTGAAAATATATGTAGATATATACAGTATATATATCATACCTCTCTTCTCAACTCCTCCCCATGGTTCTTAAGCCCTTTTCTGCACCATGCTTTTTTCATTTAATAGTAGTATCTTGGAACTTGCTCCATAGCATAGGGTAGGGGATCTATGTTCTCTCAGATTAGTCATTTCAAGATTATTTTCGTCATAAAGTGAGAACAGGAAGACAGATAAAAGCACTTGGAACTTAATTAGACTGTTCATTAAAACTGGCCTATTGGGAAACTTGATTGTCCTCTTACTATAGAATGGAGAAACTGGGAAGCATTGTGATAAGATAATCAGTTCTTTGGTCCAGATCTTTAAGGTTAGAGACCTGCTTTAAGAGACAAAATAAAGCAGCAACCATGAGAAAAGTATGAAAAGAAAAGCTTTTAATAGAAAAGTACACCTGAACTGTATTCAGGCAGGCAGCTGTCAGAGGATACCTGCACCACTGGGAACGGGGTTAAGTGTGACTTTTTCGTAGTAGGATCTTGTTATGAATATTTAGCAGGGAAGGCCTGTCACTGTAGCTGGCTCTTAGTTCGTGTTTTGTGGGCTTTTTTTTTGCACCTGTGTACATCTCATCAGGTACCACTTTTTTTGGGGTATGTCATATGCATGCCCTGTGTGGACTTAGAAAGTATGGTATGATATCAGTCTATTGCCACAAATGGGAGGTGGGATATTAGCCTACGATTAGAAGAATGTCTGTGTGCATAGGGGGAACAGTGGGAGTAAAGAAAGTAACCTTTTCTAGGCCTTCAGATGAAAGCTTAGGTAATAAAAAGTGAGATAAGCTTTCCCTTCAATGAGGGAGTCTAGGATTCTAACTCCTGGTAAGCAGTGATTGATAAGACAGATGTCCTTTTTGTTGGACTTGGGACTTCCTGTTCATAATTATCTGACTGCCTATAACACTCTCTTAGTTTTAATTTGGTGATGTGCAGTTTTATCTTGAGTGATTCCATTTTGCTCTGGTCTGTGGAGGCCTAGTCCAGGCACTTTAGTCCAAAACAAAATGCACAGTCTTACTGATTTCTCAATATCTTGTGGAATAAATATTAATAAATATTAATACTCCTGATTTATCAATGAGAAAACAGAATCAGAGGGTCTAGGTACCTTTTATTAGTAATGAGAAACCTGAAGTTTTAGGACTCTTAAGTTGTTTTTTTTTTTTTTTTTTTACTAGAAAACAGTGACCTGTATATTGATTTAGCTTTTATTTAAAAAATAATGAGGTAGTACTATTATGTGATTATTGTAAAATGCTTATTTGGTCTTAATTTCATTTCCTGGCATATAGCTCCTAAAATCCTTGGAATCACTAGAATGATAAGTATCTTTTTGAACGCTAATGAGTTGACTGACACTGGCAGCCCGTAGGTAGCTTCTCACCTTGTGGGCCAATCACCATAGACAGCAGATAGGAAATACAGGGTTGGGACCAGCAGTTGGCGTAATGGCCATGTTGCTGGATTCCCATGTAGTCGACCGTGGTTTGAGTCCCGGACCCGGTGACTTAAAACTCAGACCAGGCACATGGGCGTGTGTGCCCAAGATCCCAAGAGGAAAATGGAGGAGAAGGGATTGTGGCGTGGCCATCACCCTGGGGGAATTATTTCTCGCTTTCTGTCTCTCTGTCTCTCTCTGTCTTTCTGGGGAGCGCACACGCCCTAAAGCAAAAACCTCTCAAAAAAAAAAAAAAAAGGAAATACAGGGTTAGGACTTTCATTCCCATCCCAACCACTGGAGAGGAGAGGGGCTGAAGGTTAAGTTGATCACCATTAGTCACTAATTTAATCATTTCTGTGTACATAATGAAGCCTCCATAAAAGCCCCAAAGCACAGATTTTGGATGAACTTTCTAATAGCTAAACAAGTCACTGGAGGTTCCTAGAGGGTGGCTCAGTCTGGACAGGTTTTGGGAGCTCTGTATCCCTTCTTCCATACCTCATCATTTGCATCTTTTCATCTTTTTGGTGACCATTTTTTTTTAAAGAGGTTTTTGCCTTTAGGGTGTGTGTGCTTGCTGGAGAGAGAGAGAGAGACACACACACACAGACCATGAGAGGAAGAGTGACAAATCACCCTTCAGGTGATGACCATGCCACAGTCCTTTCTCTTCCATTCTCCTCCTAGGATTTTGGGGATGCACACACATGTGCCCGGCATGATTTTTGAGCTACTGGGTCCGAGACTCAAACTGTGGTTGGCCATGTGGGAGTCTAGTGACTTAACTGCTATACCATCTGCTGGCCCCATATTTTGTTTATGATAAACTGGAAAACATGTTTTCCTGAGTCCTATGAGTGGCTTTTGCAAATTAATTGAACCTAAGGAGGGGGTCATGGGAACCCCGATTTATACTTAGTTGTCAAAAGCATAAGTAGAACTAACGCACAGACTCACAGTTTTTATCAGATTTTGAGGGACAATATGTGGAAATGGGGGACAGTCTTACAAGCCTGTAGAATCTGAAGTTGTTTATAGGAAGATGTGTCAAAATAGAATTGAATTAGAGGATACCCAGCTGGTGTCTGCTTCAGGAAAGAATTGATTGGTTGGTTGCTGGTGGGGAGACATCTCCACATACTTGAGCCAGGGGTCACAAACATCTTCTGTGTTGATGAGTGAGATTATAGGCGGTCCTGAGCTTATTTTATTTCCCGTATTTCCAGACATGATTAAGATCCCTCTGCTATTGCAGTCTGTCAGTGTACTATGTTCTGCAATATGATAATACCATGTAATAAGCATAATAGCATACAAAAGTATATTAGCTTCAGTATTTTAGATTTCAGACTTTTAATAGGAAAGGATCAGAAACATAAAGTATGCTTTTAACACCATCTGTATATTGCCTTCTTTTCCAGTCTTCTAGTGTACGAATAAAACCTGCACGTATTGAGGAAATCTTACTGTTATTGGGCATTAAGAATCTTGGTTAGGGGACCAGCAGATGGTGTAATGGTTATGTTGCTGGACCTCCCACATAGTTGACCACCACTTGAGGCCTTGACCTGGCGGTACATGTGCATGCGTGCATGCCCACAAGATCCTGAGAGGAGAGTGGAGAAGGGATTGCGGTGTGGCCATCCCTCCTGAGGCGGGACGGGGGGTGGGGGTGGGGGTGGCGATTTCTCTCTTGCTGTCTCTCTGGCAAGCACATGTATCCTGTAGCAAAATCTCTCTTTAAAAAAAAAGAGAGACAGGTAATCTGGTTAGCAGATTTCTTGGGAGATTTTAAATCTGGACCTTCTGTATCAGTCCAGTAGTGTTGAACTTGGAGCAACTTGGACCTAGGAAAGATGAAGTTACACTTCACATGTAACACTGAAACACTCTGGTTACTCTGTGTTACCAGAACCTTAAAGTAGTATTTCACTCTGAATTTCTTTTGTTATTCTTCAATTATTAATTGATGACTGCTATATTTCAGACACTCTGCCTCTGCTGAAACATTTATCGCATTGTATTTCAACAAGTTATTTGTGTATTTGGATTATTATTCACATTAGGATGGAAGCTTACATAGCATATTTGTTTTCATAATCTTAATATCCAGTGTATATGGCATGGAGAAGGCTTTTTCTTACTTCAGACCTACAGTATTCATAGATGTTCAATTATAGAAGTGGTCTTATAAGGTTTTGTTGCTGCTAGGTAGTCAGTAGTTTACCCTGTAAGGATGTAGGCCTCTGTTTGTATTAGCAGCTATAAACTTTATTTAAAATCAAATTACCTTAATTTTTAACATCTCTGGTAAATTAGATTTAAAGTTCACTTTGTAAATGGTTATGATTAACTTCTCTAATGATATTTTGATTTTAAAGTTTTATTTGAAAAGGCAAGTACTTTTGGGGGAGAAGCCAACTTTCCAGATAATGCATTAAATCATTTAAAAAGTGCCATGTTACATAACCTCAGGCTAATTTTGCCTGCTCCTTGATAGATATGTTAACAGACTTGTTGACTCTGAAGGCATTTACTTGTCTGTTGACCCTTGTTGGAGTTTTGCATTAAATTCAAGTCGTGAATGAGGATGTTGAGAAGTTGGAACCCTCATCCATTGTTGGTGGGAATGTAAAGTGGCTCAGCCGCTTTGGAATGTAGTGTGCAGTTACTCAACAGAGTTAGCACATGGGTCAGCAATCCCGCTCCTAAGTACATGCCCAAGAAAAATGAAAGTGTGTTCACATAAAACTTGTACACAGATGTTATAGCACCATGATGCACAATGCCAAAACGTGGAAACAGTTTAAATGTCCATCAGCAGATGAATGGATAAATAAATGTGGTTTGTCCATATCATGGATTATTATTTGGCAACCAAAGGAATGAAATACTGATGCACATACAACATGGATAAACTTCGAAAAAGTCACCAAGTGAAAGAAGCCAGTTACAAAAATACCTTTTTCATTTGTATGAAATGTCCCAAATAGCAAATCTATAGGGATAGATAGGATTAGTGGTTACCCATGGCTGGAGGCTGGTGAGATGAGGAATGGATGGTTGAGAGGAAATTGAGCAGCTTCTTAATGGTACTCAGTTTCTTTTTAAAACAAAAATGTTTTAAAATTGATTGTGGTGGTGGTTGTATAACTCTTAAAATGTACTAAAACCACTGAATTATATAGTTTAAATGATAATTATAGGGTATATGAATTATACCTCAATGAAACTGTTATAAAAATATTCAAGTTTTCGGGGCCAGTAGATGGCATAATGGTTACTTCACTGGACTCCCACATGTCTGACTGCAATTCAAGTTCCTGACCCAGTGGCTTGAAACTCAGGACAGATACCTGTGTGTGCATGCCCAAGATCCTGAGAGGAGAAGGAAGGAGAAGAGAGATTATGTTGTGGTCATCCCCCCAGGTGGTGATTTCTCACTTTCCCTCTTAATATCTCTGGCGCTCTCTCTCTCTCTCCCCCCCAGTGAACCATAAGACAAAAAAAAAATTCAAGTTATTAATTATCGATAGCTCTTTAGTATTGTTTCTTCATTTTTGATAGTGAAGAATTCTAGGGCTAGCCAATGGCATGGTACTTAAGGTGGCTGGATCCCACTTGAATGACTGTGCTGTTTGGGTTAGGCATTTCTGCCCTAAATCCCGAATAAAGGGAAAGATGAGGAGAAGGGATTGTTGGGTGTCCATTCCCTATTGGGGAGGTGTGGTGCTTCTTTTTTTGTGTGTGGGGGGAGGATTTTGCTATAGGGAGCATGCGCTCACCAGAGAGACAGAGAGACAGAAAACAGGAAATCACTCCCCAGGGGGGGATGGCCACGCCACAATCCCTTCTCCTCCATTCTCCTCTCGGAATCTTGGGCACGCACGCACACGCGCCCAGCGTGAGTTTAAGCCATTGGGTCCGGGACTCGAACTGCGGTCGACTACGTGGGAGTCCAGCGACATAGCCATTATGCTAACTGCTGGTCCCCAGGGGAGGGGTGGTGCTTTCTAACATCCCCACCAATTCAGGAAGCACATATGCCCTCAGCAAATATAAAAAATAAAATAAAGATGAGTTTTAATTGCACAAGAAGCATATTTCCATTTTTATTGCCTTATTAATATGCAATATTATTTTTGGCTACAGATACTCACTAGCAAATTTCCTTTTTCTGTTAGTTTCTAGTGCCAAACTAAAAAGAAAAAAGAACTGGTTTGGAACAGCAATATATACAGAAGTAGTTGTAGATGGAGAAATTAAGAAAACAGCAAAATCCAGTAGTTCATCTAATCCAAAATGGGAAGAACAACTAACTGTGTAAGTACCTAGTATAAAGAATGCAAAGTCTTTAGAAGGGAGTGTGCTTATTGGAATATGTTTTTTTATTTTGTAGGGTAACTAGTAATGAGTGCTTTTTTTGGTGTTAATAGACAATTTAAAGTATGAAAAAATCTTTGGTTCATTTTATTTTAGAGAGGAAACATAATCCTTGCTTTTGCTTTATGAATGAAACTATTTCCATGTAACCATAGTTTCTCAGAATGTCTTGGGATAGAGATAGAGCACGTAGTCATCCTTAATTTTGGCATTGCCGAAATCCAGTTTTATAAGTTTCTGGAACTCAATGATATAACTAATGCCATCAATTTCCTTAACTCTTTAGAAATTTGTTCAAATAAGAAATGCTGTTCTAATAAGACTTTTGATATATTGCTGGTGTTATAGTTTACTAGTTTTAAAAATTCTTATCCTTATTAAAAGCCCTATTGTGTTTGAAAGTATTACTTTTATTTATAATTCAGATAGTTTACTGTTAAATATAATAATTCTTAATTAAACTGAATTCGTGGCTTTTAAAAGTTAATGAAATAAATGGTTTAAGGGGGGTTTTCACCAAGAGTGATGATGTATATTCCTATATTTTTGTTATGTAATTTTACCTTTACAGAAATGTGACCCCACAAACTGTATTGGAATTTCGAGTTTGGAGTCATCACACTTTAAAAGCAGATGCTTTATTGGGAAGAGCAACAATAGATTTGAAACAAGCTCTTTTAATACACAATAGAAAATGTAAGTTTTTTGTTCTAGCCTTTGTTTCTTTATGAGTTTACTTTAAGCACTTAGAACATTTTGTGAAGTCCAAAAGTAAAAACAAATAGTTTTTATTCATAAAGGAGAACTTCAGTTATTGCCTGTGATTGCTTTTAAGTTTTTAGTGTTAACATGAAATAGAAAATATTTACCCTGGCCTTTCTCTGTTCTGCAGATTTATAAAATTATCTCAGTCATTCACAAGTACCCAGTTAACAATACTTATTAGTCATTTATTATTTACTTATAATTGTGTATACTTTAAAACTTGAAAAGTTGTCTTCTGAGCCTATGCTCTTACTTGACTAGTAAAAATTTTGTTTGAGTAAAATCAATTCTGTTAAAATTTTTTCTTTTATCATGTAACTAGTTTCCTGTAGAAAATAGAATATAGAATATCACATATCTGTACTTTTTTTTTTCTTTTTTGGAGAGATTTTTGCTATAGGGCGCATGCACTCACCAGCCAGACAGAGACAGACAGAGAGACAGAAAGCGAGAAATCACCCCCCAGGGGGGATGGTCATGCCGCAATCCCTTCTCCTCCATTCTCCTCTCGGGATCTTGAGAATGCCACTGGGTCCGGAGCTCGAACCGCGGATGACTACATGGGAGTCCAGCGACATAGCCTTTACGCCAACTGCTGGTCTCCACATATCTGTACTTATATTATCCACAAATAATCACACTTAATTTGATCTTTCTTTTGTCTGTAGAGAGAAACACAGTGTTTTTTATTTCATCTACTGATTTATCCTTTTTTAAAAAATAAGTAATTCAGTTAAACATGTTTCTGTGATATTACATTTTTCTAGCCCAAGAATTCTTAAGATAGTTTAGATTTCTCTTTTGTAAACCTCTTATTATCTGCAGCATTTTGGAGTATATGCATATGTTTATAATTGTGGGGAGAGGATTCATAGCTTGTACCAAATTCTCAGAGTTCGTGATTCATTAGAGATTAAAAACTGGAATTCTGTAATTGTTTATGATTTTTAAGTGCCACATGTCTTTTCATATCATTTATTTAATCTCCTTTTGTGTGGTATTTAGGCATTTCTAATAGTTCAAAGTAATCCCCTTTTGCACTTCTTATTTACTTAGAAATATGCTTATTAATTCCTAAAAGTAGGTTTTCTGGGTTAAGGATTTAAATGGTAATGCCTAGGGCCAGCAAGTGTCATAATGGTTAAGGCCCTGAACTCCCATGTGACTGACTGCAGTTCTAGTCCCAGACCCGGTGGCTTGACACTCATGCCAAGTGCATCTGCATGAATACCCAAAATCCCTAGAGGAGAATGGAGGAGAAAGGATTATGGCTTGTCCTTCCCCCCTCCGGGAGGTGATTTCTTGCTTTCTGTTTCTCTGTCTCTCTGGTGAACACATGTGCCCTATAGTACAGTATCTCTTAAAAAAAAAAAAAAGCTACTGCCTAAAATGAGCCAAGTTTTTGGGGCCAGCAGTTAGCGTAATGGCTATGTCGCTGGACTCCCACATAGTCAACCGCGGTTCAAGTCCCAGACCTGGTGGCTTAAAACTCACGCCGGGCGCATGTCCGTGCGTGCCCAAGATCCCAAGAGGAGATTGGAAGAGAAGGGATTGCGGTGTGGCCATCCTCCCTGGGGGGTGATTTCTTGCTTTCTGTCTCTCTGTCTCTCTCTGTCTGTCTGGCGAGCACATGCACCCTGTAGCAAAAACCTCGCCAATAAATAAATAAATAAATAAAATAAAATAAGCCAAGTTTTTAAAAATTGTTTTTTGTTACTAGCAAAAAAGAAAAGACATATATAACTTAAAAGTTTGTTTTGATGTAATTTTTGGACATAGACAAGTTATGACTCATATAAAATTTCTGCATTCTGTCAGGATTTGGGGCATGCATGCATGTGTGCCCAGCATGCTTTTTCAGCTCCAGGTCCTGGGATTTGAACCATATACTCAGCCCTGGGCGAACCAGCTGCCTTAACCACTTTTTACCCTGGCCTTTCTCCATTCTACTGATTCGCAGAATTATCTCAGTCATTCACAAGTAAACTGTTATCAATGATTATTAGTCATTTATTATTTACTTATTATTTAATCACTAGGTCACAGTGCTGGCCCTGCTGTGACACTTTATTATATATACAGGTCTTGAGCACCCTCAGATTTTAGTATACACAGGGGTCTTCAAAGCAATTTTCCATGAATACCAAGGGACACAATTTTGTGTTACACAAGGTAAAGCAAAATGCCCTCGAATTGAAATAACTAGATGTCCTAATAATGAGAAAGAAGTATTTGGCCGCATATAAAAATGGATGGGGCTGGCACTGTCTTGCAGCCTGCATCCAGGATCTTGACAAGATGGCAAGTTCAAGGAAGAAGGATTGAAGGATTGTGGCATAACTGGGCCCCGTTGGGGAGTGTGCTTTCTCTCTCTCTCTCATGCACATGCCCTCTAGGATTAAAAAGTAAATAAGTAAATAAAAATAAAAAGCCATAGTACCTAGCATTTATGGAGTACTGACCATGTCAGATATGTTAGTAGCACTTTCTGTGGTTTTCCATATGGTCCTTATGACTGTCCCTTTAGTTTGAAGCTCTTGCTATGTCCATTTTTTTTAAGAATTATTTTATTTAACTATATTTATTTATTTATTTATTTATTTAAATTTGACCAGAGATGAGAAATAGAGAAGAGAGAAAGTGAGAAAGCAAGCTGCCAGGTCCGTAACTTGAACCACGGTCAGCCATGTGGGAGTCTAGCACCCTTCACCACCACACCATCTGCTAGACCGTCTATGTCTATTTGTAATGAGGAAACTGAGGCTTACAGAAGTTTGGATAACTTACTTAAAGTACAGCTAGTAAGTAGCAGAGCTGGATTTACAACCAGCCAGGTAGGTGCAGTTGCCTGATTCACATGGAGAAATTTTGCCACAGCCACAAGAGTCCTCCCTGGGACTTTTGGCTGAACACCAAGTTTAGGCACTTGCTTCATATTCTTTACACACAGTTAGATATTCTCTGGAATTTATAATATGCACAGAAGCAATTAAAGATGATATTGAAAGCGTGGGGTAGGAGAGGGTCATTATGTGTGAAAGCGATTGATCCTGGTGTAGTCTAAAAATGTGAAGAACTCCTTCCAAATATAGCTATCAAGTACAAAATTAGAGTAATTCTTGAAACGTAGTTTTGATATCTAAACACATTCATATATGGCAAAAGCTTTTAAATTAGAATTTTTTTTTTTCTAGTGGAAAAGGTGAAAGAACAATTAAAACTTTCCTTGGAAAACAAGAATGGTGTAGTACAGACTGGTGAATTAACAGTTGTACTTGATGGATTGGTGATTGAACAAGAAAACCTGACAAACTGTAGCTCTCCTCAAACCAGTAAGCTAACTTTCTATGCTTTTTTCAATTTAAGGAAAGAAAACTCAGCAAGAGGTATATATATAAAAAAAAAAACTAAGTGTATTTATTTCTTATCATTCAGTAGAAATACAGCAAAATGGTGATGCCTTACATGAAAATGGAGAGCCTTCTTCAAGGGCAAATACCAGGTAGAATATTTTACTTTAATATTTGTGTCAGTATGATATTACATTTTCCACATATGAAGTTTTAAATTTTAACCTTTTAAAATTTATCACAAAATGTAGAAATTTACATCTAAACATGACATATGGTTGAATTTTTATGAAAGTAGCATTTAAAAATAATAGCCTTTGTAATACATATACCATAAAAATCATTTTTTCTTTCTTTTTTTTTTTTAACCGTTTTTGCCATAGTGTCCATGTGTCTACTGGAGAGAGAGAGACAGAGAGAGAAAGTGAGAAATTATTCGCAAGGGAGGATGGCCACAGTCCGTTCTCCATTCTCCTCCTGGGATTTTGCGCATGCAGACACATGTGTCCAGTGTGATTTTCAAGCCACTGGGTCTGGGACTCGAACTGCAGTCAGCCATATAGAAATCCAACACCTTAACCACCATGCCACCTGTTGGCCCCCTAAAATTCACTCTTTATATAAAGTAAAAAATTCATTATTTTTACTATATTCACAGAGTTGTGCAACCATCACTGATTTCACATCATCATTCCCCCTGAAAATTTTCATTGCCATCCCCATTCTTCCCTCTTGGCTCCTGGCGGATACTGATGTACTTTTAGTCTCTGGATTTGCCTCCTTTAGTCATTTCATATAAACACATTTGTATGAATTATAATCTGTTGTAACTGGCTTCTTAGGGTAATGTTTCAAGGTTCACCTATGTTATAACTGCTTTAGTGCTTCATTTTTTTCATTGTCGAAAGTGTTTTTCAAAAATCTGTATTTAGGCTATTTTATTAGTAAGTAGGTAGAGACAGATGCTCTGGAGAAATAGATAACTCATTGATGTTTGAATTGGCATTCTTCTGTAGATCACATGAAGATACATTCTCCTCAGGTTGTGGGCTTCTCTCAAAAGTCATCCTGCTATTTCAAAAACTCCATTATTGGAACCAGCAGTTGGTGTAATGACTATGTTGCTGGACTCCCGTGTTGTCGACCATGGTTCGAGTCCCAGACCCGGTGGCTTAAACTCACACCAGGCGCGTGTGCGTGCGCGCCCAAGATCCCGAGAGGAGAAGGGATTGCAACATGGCCATCCCTCCTAGGGGGTGATTTCTCGCTTTCTGTGTCTCTGTCTCTCTTTGTCTTTCTGACGAGTGCACTTGCCCTATAGCAGAAACCACTCCAAAAAGAAAAAAAACAAACAAAAAACAAAAAAACTCCATTATTCTCAATATTGCTCAACTGCCAGTAAGACTTAAAATACTTGATTTTGTAGTTTTAGTTTTTATTTATTTAATTGCATTTAACTTATATTCTATAAATTCTTAAAATTCTAGAATATAAAATTTAGCTTATTCTGATCATTCTGCACTCATAATTTTAGTACCTAGTACATGATTTGTAATAAATGTTTGTCAGCGTTTTCAGCTTTTTTTCCAGGATTCAGTAAAATTACGGTTGTTTGGAGGTGAGTGCATATGTCCTATGGCAAAAACCTAAAAAAAAAAACCTAAAAAAAGATGAATATTCTTAGATTTAAATATTTGAAATTTGCATTTTGAACATTATTTTGAGGACCTCAATTCATTTTTGCCTTAGTATATTTGTATATCTCAGATTTTTTTAATCTGCCAGTATATATATATTTAGAACTGCAAGAAACTTCAATCTAATAAACGAATAGCTTATCTTTGTTCATTACTTTCTATACCTGTCATTTTGCTTGAATGTTAAAAACTCATAAATATTTCTTAGGAAAATTCTAATGAAAATGGTTTTATTGTACGTAACTCATTGAAATAAGGCTTTTAATTTTTGTTTAAAGGTTGGCTGTTGAAGGTACAAATGGAATAGATAATCATATACCTACCAACACTGTAGTTCAGAATTCATGCTGTTCCTATGTAGTTAATGGAGACAACACACCTTCATCTCCATCTCAGGTTGCTGCCAGACCCAAAAATACACCAGCTCCAAAACCACTCACATCTGAGCCTGCCAATGACGCTGGTAAGTGTGGCTATTTGTGACACATTGTTTAAATGGAAGCTAAATTAAGGTTATGTTTCTGTGCCTACACTTTTCTTACTGTGAAGTCTTAATGTTCTATTCTACAATAGGCATTTTAAAAAAGTACAGTACCTGAAATTTCTTTCTAATAATTTGAACTTTTCTAAGGTGTTTAGGTAGATTATCCAAAAACATATAGTTCAGAAATTTTACCACATTTACTAATGAGCAGGTGCTTATATGGTTGTTATATTCTTAGGCTTTATATCATAAAAAACTACTATTTTAATGAAATAAAATATTTCTGTAATGATTTCAATGATTTCATTGACTTGTTAGTAAAAGTTAGTATGAATGGTTCCTTTAACTTGTCTTCCACATACAGATTATTTTTAACGTGTAACATAGTAGGAAAATGTACTGTGAGCTGATACAGCTCTTAGAAGATTTATTTATTTATTGCAGAAGGTATGTGGGCTTGCCAGAAAGAGAGAAGAGAGACAGCACTCCCTAATGGGGGTTGATCATGCTACAATCCTTTTTTCTTCATTCCTCCTTCTCCTCAGGATTTTGTGCACACATATCCATGGACTTGGTGGGTTTTTCAAGCCATGCCTGGGATTTAGACTGCAGTCAGCCACTTGGGATCCTGTTCCTATAACTATTGGGCTATGGAGCTGGCCCTTTCACAGATTTTTATATTTTCCAAAAGTGAGCATTATATAGCAGGAATATTTAAGGAAGGATTCTTCTGTAATCTCATTTTTTCAATGGACTCAGCTATAAATTCCTGTTTTGTTTTTGTTTTTGTTTATTTTTGTTTGTTTTGTAGTTTGCCAGAGAGCATGTGTACTTCCCGGAGAGAGACAGACAGAGAAAGTAAGAAAGCATTCGTCATGGGGCATGGTCATGCTGTGGTCCTTTCTTTTCCATCTCTCCTTCCTTTCAGGATTTGGGGCATGCACACAGCATGTTTTTCAAGCTGCCAGGTCCAGGACTAGAACTGTGTAATTGCCCATGTGGATCTGATTGCCTTAACCACCACACCATAGGCTAGCCCAATAAATTACTTTTTTTTGTTTGTTGGTTTGGTCTTATTATATATATATAATAACTTTTTCAGATATCTCTCCTGAAATTCAAATATTTTAAGACACTTGTTTAAGGTTACTAGTATATATGTTGGTGATTGAGTTGGAATCTGAGGCCACATTCCAGAGGCCACATTCTTTTCTGTGTTTGTCTGTTATAGGAAGGAAATGTATGAAGTAGCAAATTTATCAATTATATTGAAATAGATAGATTTATAAATGATACTTAATTGTGCATTTATACCCAAAGTTGGGGTGTGGGGTTGTTTACCAAGAGTAATCCTGAGAGTTTTCATAAGTATAGGAACTAACAATAAATGATATCTTAAAATTTTAGTTTCTTTATTAGTAATTCTTTTTTTAAAGTTCATTCATTTCCATGAGAGAGAGAGACAGTAAGAAAACAACATTGGATGCATATTTTGGAAAACTTATACTATCTTCTCTGTCATTCTTGTCATCTTTCTCTATTTAAAGGAAATGGAGTTTTGAGATTTCATTATTCCTAAAATATTTAGCTGTTTGAGTATATTGATGAAAATACCTATTGATCACTAGTTGCTTAAATGTTTTAGCATTGGGTGTACTCAGCTGTTCATATAAAAGGGTGAAAGAAGTAACTGAGACTCTTACCATTGTAGAATTTCCTATTTATGCTGTACAGCTTGTCAGATACGTAATAGATGCTTTATATTTAAAATAAATTCACTTTACACCTTCTCTTATTTATCCTTGCTTGAAATGTCAAAGCAAAAACAAAACACACGTGAGGAACTATTGGGTTGTCAGGAAAGTCATTCATTTTTGTATAGAAAAACAAAAGGAAAAGTATATCATGATTTTCCTGACAACCTAATACAGTGAAGGATCCATCATAAATAATTCCTGTGACAATTATGACAATTGGAAATAAATTTAGGACAATCTGAATAATAATAGTGATAATAGCTAGCATTCATGCTGTACATGTTCTAAACATTCGTTACTCATTAACTTACTCTCCCAGTAACTCTTTGAAATAGGTACTAGAATTTTCCCTTTTTTTCTGGTGAAGGAACGAGGCAGACAGGTCACAGCTGGGGAGAGAAGTGTTGTAGTCAACACCTAGCTCTGTGGATTCTGACTCTGCACTGTACTTTGCTGTTTCTCTTTGATGTGTGTGGTTTTTAGTGTTTGAAACTGTACTGTTCATCTTTTGTACTATAATAAACTTCAAATAGTATTTCTCCAACCTTTTCACCCCTTCCAATTACTATTGGTAACATCTGACTAAACAATCTGATTGTCCTCATTCCATTGGCCAGTCTCCAGAGGCTTCCAGAACCCTACTCTGTTGTTAGCAACCAGTTAGCTGATGTCTCTTTGCATGATCCATCATCCCTTTATAGGAGTATGAATTCAGGTATCTTAAGATGGGTGATACCTATTCCTTTAAGATGTTAGTATAAAATGGTGCTTCCTTTTTCTTTTTTTTTAAAGGTTTTTTTGCCATAGGGTATGTGTACTTGCCAAGAGAGGGGGAGAGAGAGAGAGAGAGAGAGACATAGAAAGGAAAAGTGAGAAATTACTCCCTGGGCAGATGGCTACACTCATTCCCTTCTTTCTCCTTTTGGAATTTTAGGCATGTACACACTGGTGCTTGGTACGATTTTGGAGCCATTGGGTTAGGGACACGAACCATGGTTATTTACGGTTACTATAAATGTCATTGGAATTATTTATGATGGATCCTTCATTGTATTAGGTTGTCGGGAAAATCATGATACACTTTTTTATGTTTTTCTATGCAAAAATGTATCATGACTTTTCCGAAAACCCAATAGTTACTCGTGTAGGAATCCGGTGCCTTAACTATCATGCCAGATGCTGGCAGTGGTATTTCTTTTTTTATAATTAAAGACTTTTATTAGTTTTTGTTGTTGGAATTGTGAGGGTGGGACCATACATATTCTATGTATAACATAATACATATCTTTAATCTTTTAACTATGATACAATTCCAAGATCTTGAAATCTTTAAAATCAAAGGTTTTGTTTATTTGTTTGTAAACTCATTTGATGGCAAAATAAATACAATCAACTTGAGGCTATTTATAGTTTTTATTTTCCATGCTTACTATTCATAGCTCTACTTTTTGCTGTAGATATGTTAAGTATTAAATCATAGTGTATGACCACTAAACTTGTTTGGGACTTAATGTAAAACATGTACGTGCCAGCTTACGTTCCTGAATTCAGAACAATTATGGATTGCGTCCCCCAGGGCTTCAGATAAGGATTGTAGGCCAGTACTAAGGAGTTTAAGACAAATACCTTCTAACCATAGACAGTATTGTACATGAGGTTTTCTTTTTTTTTTTATCCCCTCCTATTCTTTTGAATCCTGACTTAGGGGTATATTTGACAAATACAGTTGTAGTGAATATTGGTAGTTATTTGCACAAAAGTAGTAGGCAATGTGTAGTGAAAAAATTAGATTTGACTTCTGACAGTACTGAGAACAAATCCCAGTTCAACCACTAACATGTTAGCCATGTAACTTGGGACACATTAAGCTCTCCCATTTTTTTTTTTTTAAAGAGCAATACTCATTTAACTACCTTATACAACTACATAAAGGTTAAATCAGAGTATAAATCCAAAACTTATACCATATTACTTGGATAGTAATAGATATGGAAGAAAAATATGCTTCTCATTCCCTTTCCCTAACTTCTAGTGTAAAATTACATTTTCTAATATAAAGTTACTATTTTATTAGTAAACTAGATCACAGCTTGTGGTGTTAGTCAGATCCTGCATGGCTGACTGTGCAGTTCAAATCCCGGCCCCTGCAGCTTGAGGAACACACCAACACGTGTGTGCATTCCAAATCCTGACAGAGTGGAGAGATGGAGGAGTAAGGATTGTGGCCAGACGTTTCTCATTTCTCCCTTTCCTTCTTTCTGTTTCTTTCTGGGAAGTATAAAAAAAAGAATAATAAAATCCATCAGAACTAAGTATGGTAAGTTTCACATGGAACTATATAACTTCACATTTCTTAGACATTTTTATTAGCTTTTTATACTGAAGTACCTAAATCCACAGAAGGTTGCAAAGAAATGTACAGGGAAGTCCCATATACCCTTTGCTATTTACCAGTGTTAACATCTCTTATAACCGAAGTGCAGTATCAACCTCAGGTAATTGATACAATCCACAGAGTGTGTTCTCATTTCACCAGTTCTGCCTGCACCATGTGCGTTTGTATGTATGTGTGCGTCTAGATATTTCACGTGTGTGGCTTCGTGTAATGGCCCTTACAATCAAGATACAGAACCTCATCCCTTTGAGGCTCCTGCATTCTCTATGACCGTGTAGCCCCATCCACTCTCAAGTGTGAGTTGACTTTTAAAGGAGCTTACATAATATTCAAATACTTAAATATTTCTACCTTTTTCTACTTTGAAGTGTTAGAATGAGGACAAATGCATAGTGCTGTTACATGGGTGTATCATAAACCTCTGGGAAATGTCTCAAAGATTGAACATAATGGGGACCAGCAGTTGTGGGGCTGTGTCACTGGACTCCCATGTAGTCGACTGCGGTTCGAGTCCTGGACCTGGTGCTTAAACTCATGCCGGGCTCATGTGCATACATGCCCAAGATCCTGAGAGGATGCAGGAGAAGAGATTGTGGCCATTCCCCCTGGGGAGTGATTTCTTGCTTTCAGTCTCTGTCTCTCTCTGTCTTTCTGGTGAGTGCACGTGCCCTAAAGCAAAGTTGTCTCCAAAAAAAAACATAAGCCAGGAAATTGATCGTGTAACCCAAAAGTCATGATAACTGAAAGCAAGGCTTGGGATCATTCATTAAGAAACAGTCAGTGGGTCTAATCTCAAATCCTGTAGAGAAGGAGATGTGATACTTTAC